CTGTTTCCCTAGCACCAAGCGTAGAGTCTGGCACACAGCAGGGGCTTAATAAATGCTTATAGATGGATGGAAGACAGGCACTTTGGAGGTTTACATGAAAGGACAAGTGAGACAGTCTAGGTAAAGTATTTTGCAAGTCTTAAAGCAATACATAAACATCAACTGTTCCTATTATTACTAGTGCTTTGTGGTGCACACACATGATCTCACATGGCCTTCCCACCTCCCTGTGAGGCACAGAACATCACCATCATTTTCCAGAAGAGGAAACAAAGGTTCCAGAGGTTAGATGACTTGCCCAGGGTTACAAAGCTATAAAGGAGACCTAAGCAATGTGGGGGTGCCAAGTCCACTGGTCTCTGTCCCCTGCCAGCCTGCCGCGGATGACGTGCATAAATGTCCCCAGATCACGGGGCGCTCCCAGCTGTTCTCCCTCCCTTCTCCTCCAGCGGGGAATCTTGTCTCACCTTGCTCTTTCATTTAACTTCTAATCCACTTTTTAATCCATGTCTGTTACTGTCGTTTTAGCGCACTTATACCTTGGCATTTCATTACACCGTTTCGCCTTGTTCAGTAATCATTTCATGTGTATTAGTCTTGTTTCTTCAACCCAACATTCAATTTCTTGAAAACAGGGGGCGTGTTTGATGTTTCTTCCCTATACCCCACAGCACAGAGCACAGCACAGCGCTAACTACAGAATGGGCCCTCAACAGATCCCCACTGACTGACCGGCCCAGGGACCACTAGGCTTGTCTTTTCTAGGGGTTGGCCACATCACCGGAAATCTTGGAGAAGCTGTGTCCGCTATCCAACAGGCCCCTGGAGAAATACACTGACTTTAACATGAGCCTAAGGATAAAATTATTAAAAAGGTGAGCCTATTTTTTAATAGTATAGGATGAATTTCAAGGCTCCTGTTGCCTGGGGGGGGGGGAGCCAACATCCCACTTGATGGATGACTGGGGGACAGACTAGGAGGAGGGGAGCAGGGTCCTGCCCCTCTCCTCACCAACCTTACCTGAACCCTAGAATAGTCAAGAATGGCGCCACAGAGACTGGAAGAAGGAAAATCCCATAGGCCTGGTACTAGCCACGGGTCTTCAGTAGTGGGTCTCGGCTTGGGGATGCACCAGGCATACACAACTTATAAAAATAATCAGCACTAAGGTGAGAGGTGGGTGGGGCTGATGACCTCACTGAAGAGCTCACAAGAAAAATCTTTCCCTATCAACAAGGAAAAATCAAAAGCTGACTTATTCACAGATACAAAAGAAAGATATTATTTTCTCCCTGATCAAATAGCCCAAATATTTAACCTAAGTTAATGGTAAAAGTGTCAATCATTTATATTTGATTTCAAAGACAGGCTAGTGAATGAATTAATGAATAAGTGAATGAAATAAACAAGGTCATGGGTCAACCTAGTGTTTTTTAAAGAAACCCTTTAGGCCAAGGTATCATGGACACCTTGCAGAACTGATACTGATCCCATGCACATCTCAATGCCACCCCCTCTCCCACCCTAATTTCTATGAGTGTGAATAAATGGAGAGCAAGCCTAAGTTTGTGGTAGCCTGTCATTCTTTTATTTGACCAACACCTATTGGGTGCCTACTGTGTACAATGAACAGTAAGTGCTTACTGAATGAGGGAATTGCCTTCAGGCTCACCTGATGCCCTTCACACACTGAGCCTACTGGTCTAAGCTACACAGTTGGCCTGGACCAAGTCTCCCTTTGGCACCCACACACCACCTCCATGAAGCATTCCACGAGTCCTCCAGCCTCCACCAGCCTCACTCTTCTCTGGACTCCTGAAGTACTTCTGATTTTTCCTGGGCATTCTGGCCCTTAATCAAAAGACAGTGTTATACAACGTTAACAGGTGTGTGTATGTGTGTGTGTGTGTGTGTGTGTGTGTGTTCAGAACAGAGACCCCCACACACACTCCTCATGTATAGCTAAGCAAGGCCCTGAAAGTGTAGCAGGCCCTCAATAAAGACTGACCGCACTGAAATGATGTCATTACTCTAGGTTCCCTGACTCATTTTACCTGCACTTGCTAAAATCTGAAGGGCAATTAAATTTCCCTAATAAGGGAAATGCTGAAAAGGAAATACAGTTTCCTCATCAGTAATTTGCCGATGCTCCATGCTATGCTTCTCTCTCTGGGTTGCCGGGATGCCCACGTGAGATAAGAGTGGCAGGAGCCCTGAAAACCATCCAGGGCTGTCCAATCATCCCCAAGCTAGGGCAATTCCTACTTTATTACTCTTGTGCTCTTAGCATGAGCTGGCTCTGCCCACAAGGAAGACACCCCAAGAGCTCAGGATACAAGAATATGACTGTTCTTGAGCTGCTCATGGAGAAGAGAAGAGACTGCTGGCTGAAACACAGGCCCCAGGAGATCCCTCCAAGGTCACTCAGGGCATCTCCAACAAAACCAGGGAGGGAGTCCCGCCTTCTCATCTTGTGTGTCCTTCTGTCCTTCCAAAGGGTCAGTGATGGGGGAAATGGAGTGCCAGGCCCCTAGACAGCAGCTCCCGGGCCTGGGCTATGAGTACATCTAAAACCAAAAGGAAGACGTGTGTGTGGAGGCCATAAATACCTCATGCAGGGACACAGACAATGCCTTGGCGATAAGCATGCAGATTGCACACCTAGTTCAGAAACTCCCCTGAGTTTGCTTGTAATTAAGGGGGTTAGAAATGTAAAAAAAAATATATAAACCCAATTAATCATTTAAATATTTAAAGTCAGGTTTTCTCCTCACTCCAGGATCAGTATATTTCATAAAGCCAGCAGCCGACAGCCCTGGTTTTTACTGGGGTTCATTTCAGAGCATGTTTAAACTAGTCAGATTGAGTGATGCTTCCAGCAACTAATCGCATGTCAAATAAAAGATATTTTATGTAATAAATTACCGCTACAAGTAATTCAAATGTCATTTATCAGTTTTATTATCAGTCAGGCAAAGTCTTGTTTCTCTATATTAATCAAAATCAAGCTTTTTTTTTTTTTTGGAGCAGTTTTGACACCTCTTGGCAAAAGTACCGAAGGGAAAAGACAGAATTACCCCCATCGAGCTGAGAGGAGCCATATAACGGTTTAACAAGAATGAAGCTAAAGGGAGAGAACTAAAAACTCAATGTATTTAAAATTATAATTACTAGGATTTTTACCCCAGTGGCAGCAACAGAAGGATTTTTCCTCTGCTAGAATGCTTCTGATTTTCTGGGTAAGGAGAATTTTTAAAATATACCTATCTGGGAGAAATCTCAACACGCTCATGCTTTTACTCCAAGAGGTGTGGGCATCAGAAACTCTTTTAAGCAAGTGAACTGCTGGTTTTCCTCTCACCCAAAAGAGTCTTTGTTTAATCATGCTAGTCCATTGAACCCAGGCAAGTTCACTGAGACTCTGGCCCAACTCTCTGACCCCCTAAAGCAATTTGTTCTGAGCAAAGAGTAGCTCGGCATCCCTGGAGACCTATTTATATTAAGCCATGTAAGGTAGCAGCTGGAATCCAACAGATGTGCCTCCTGCAAGAGTTCTGCCAGCTGCCAGCGCCCATCCTCAGCAAGTGCCGTAAAAGGCTGGCCCAAGGACTCGACTACAGAAAAAGGAGTGAATCCCAAGCCGCTGGCTAAAAAGCCCCTGGGAAGGGTGCTCAGTGACCCGCAGCAAACACCCACAAGCTGAATGATGCAGAGCAATGCACCCAGTCTAACAAGTGGCCAGAGCCAAACACCTCAGCTGGGTTTCCTGCCCCGACGTGTGTCAGTCTGGTCAAGAACACAAGCCAGGAATGTCTGCCCTATCTAATCCACAGCCTCCTCTACAAGAGAGCAAGGGAAGGAGAGGGGACAAATGAGGTCTGAGGCACAGATAACACGTATCCCCTTTGTGCCTTATCCACTGGGGAGGCCACTGGAGGGCCTCACGAGACCCCACCCACATTCCTCTAGTAGTGGCCTCTTGGCCTGTTGCTCGACCCAAAGAGAAAGGGACAGGGCAAGAAAAGGTAAGGGAAAAGGATATCAGCTACTAGGTGAGCTTTGAGACTTACCCTTAAAATTAAATCAGATACTTAAAATGATTTTAAAGCTTGGGGGAAAAAAAAAACAAACAACCAACCAACCCATGATATCCCAAAGCCATCTTCTGAAGTACCCAGGGAAGATGAAGACAACACAGGAAAAACCTCCGGAAGGAAGGCCAACAGGCGCCCCTGCGGAATTTCTTTAAAGGAACCAAGAAGGAAGTTGGCTATTTATCAGTGCCAAGGGCCTCAGCCTAGTCTGTGGCACAACGTTCCATGTGACCCAAAAGGGAGCTTAGTGACTGCTGAGATATTTTAGGGGTGTATGTTGCTGCCATTACCTGCCATAATCTATCCTTCTAAAATAGTGTTCATAACAAACCTCATGATTAACATTCATACACAATTAAGAGCAATTAAGAAGAAGGATTTTTACATTTTAACCGGGAAACCCCTAAAGAGACCCTACCACAGATGAATGAATGAGCCAGGATCTTAAAATTTTTTAAAACTAAAAGACTTATCAAGACTTGCTTTGATAAAAATTTTAAATAATAAGAAAACAAATGATCTCACTGAGCAACCAGAAGTGGAAGAAAACTTTCCCTGGTAGTCAAGAGACTTCATATTAACTCGAAACAGTAAAATGGGGCAGCACCAAGGCACACACTGTCTGAAAAGTGGGAGGAGAGAACCAGTACAAACGTGGCCTCTGTGATCTCTTTAGTGTAACAGAGAGGCCTGGAATGCTACACTCAGCACTGGGGGATGAAAAGGACAAGGTGTACCACATTCAGCTGGAAACTGCCTCTCGCAGGATTTCTCCCTGAAGAGAACGATCTGTAAGCTACCTTGAGAAGGGAAAGGACAGGGAGGAAAGTGACCCCAGCCTGAGGCAGCCAAGAGGTCCAGAAGGCCCAATAGGGCCGAGGCCACAGCGGCAACGGGTGACTTACTGTATGGCTGAGGCATGAGGTGAGGGGGCTGGAGGGGCACCATCGGGGCGGAAGGGCCCGAGGACTGAGACTCATCGGCAGCCGTGCCCGACTGCTGGAAAGCCAGGTCAATCTCTTCATCTGTCAGCCCTGAGAGGGAAGAGGAAATGATATGGGGTTAGCACCTCTCTCCGCTTGCTGTGGCTCGAACGCAATCTTTGGTGAGACAGAACCCCCTCAGCTGCAGAACGTCAAGCGTGGTGATTCCTGGGCTGTTGCCTCCCCGATTTTGGATTCTCTGGAACCTCTCTCCGCTGCAATTTAACCTTAAGCGACAGAATATTAGCCTCAACGCTGCTTCCAAATGTGGCTCATTCAATTTCCTTAATTTATCCTTGAGTTTATTGCTGCTTTTGAAGTCGCTCCGTACTGCAATTCTCCATTCTTCCCCCGAAAACAGATACCATCAACTGCAAATGTGGCTCATTTTAATCTGTAATGGTGTTAAAAAAAAGAGGGGAAAAAACTAACAATAATGCATGAAAACAGACAGGGAAACAAAAAACTAATTATTGGGTGAGACGACTAATTAGTCTAGATCGTTTCCGAAGACGGGAATAATTTGCTTTATTTTATGACAAATGCAGAAATAAAAAGAAAAATCAGGACTGACTGTGATTAGTATGAATGGGATATAGAATGTAAAGAAGAAAATAAAACAAGAAAACAGATCAAAACAAGGCCAGGCCCAAACTTTCAGATGATTATTGCTCCAGCCTATGATAGGCTGTCGCCTAGATCGCCTTTGGCTAGCGTCTGACTCTCTCTCCTCCGCTCTCCCCTCTCCCCGTTTCTTTCTCTCTCTTCTCTTCTTGTTTCTCTCTCTCTCTCTCTCTCTCTCTCTCTCTCTCTCTCTCTTTCTCTCTCTCTCCTCTCTTCCTCTCTCTCTCTCCTCTCTTCTCTTCTTGTTTCTCTCTCTCTCTCTGTCTCTCTGTCTCTCTCTCTCCTCTTCCAGCCACTTTGCACATGGGACAGTGGGGAACATCAGGGCGCCATCTACTGTGGCTACAACATGTGGAGAGGATTTCCCCATGAAGGAATAAAAAGCACATGAAACCCTTCCCAAGGGCAACATCTGGGTCAGGCATAGAGCTCAAGGCCTTAAACCAGGTTCACGACCACAGGTGCAGGAGAGGATGGTAACTGCAATGGCCTGCCCCAAGGAGAGAAGACAGAAGGCCTGGGCTCTGGAGAACTGAAGAACTTTCCCCCAAGATGAATCAGGGACGTTCGCTGCGCGTGTGTGCCAGAGCCCGGGGCTCCTGAGCAGGAGAGCAGGCGGGGGCCACTGCCAGCGTGCAAACACTGCCCGGAGCAGCCCACGCCGTTCCCGGAATCCCAGTCTCCAGCCCGGCCACAACACAGAGCTTTTAAACTGGAGCAGAGAGCTTTCCACATCTGGTCTGCAGCTCTGCATTTTGGCTCCATTAGAGGCTCACAGCATGGTCTATTTGCCCCTAGGGGTAGATGAAGCACAAGCAGGTTCTGAGGATCAGCTTCTTCAAAAGCGTGGTGCCTCGCACTCTGTGCCAAGGGGCTAATAGATGGAGCATATTAGCGCTTTAAAGCATAGCCCTGCCCGGCCCCATCCTGGTGGGTGTGCGTCCAGGCCACGGGATCTCCTGCTGCTGCCCAGGAGGGCTCTGGCCCCTCTTCTCTCCCCAGCTGACCTGGCCACATGTGATCCCACCAGGGCTGTGCTCCCCTGCAGACTGGCAGGCAAGGCCCTAGGAATGGGCCAGATAGGAGGCATTCATCATTCTGCTGACCCAAGCAGCCTTGCTACTTGACCTGGCCTCTCACCTCCAAGGATGACCAAAGTGAGTGGCCAGGAGGACTAGGCCTTGTGACCACAGTAACCTGAGGCCCCTAAACAGTGGTCCTTATGGTCACAGGAAAGGAATGGGGACATGGCCTCAAAGGCCTACCGACCAGGTAAAAAAGACGTTTTAACCAGTTCATAATCAGCCATTAGAGGAGACAGCCACACATGCCGACGTCAGCATGGGCTGCTGGTCACTGGCACACAGCAGAATTTTATAAACCTGGTGGTTCGCGTGCCTTGTCAGCCGCTGGCTGCAAATGAGGATAATTTTCCCAAAAGGAGCATTCAGTTGCATTCTCATTTTCCCTTTTGGCTCTTTCAAATATAAACAAGTATGATAATGTTTAACGCTGGGGAAATATACAGTAAGTTACAGGCAGCGCTCCAGCCGTGGGAGCTAAAGCCGGTTAAAGGGACAGGACGCTCTGCCCAGCGCTTGGCCCTGCAGCTTTGCTGCAAACTGTTTCACCACTAAAATGTGTCCTTTGTACTATTACAGACATGCCCACTACTGAGGCCGGAGTGAAACAGGATGCCCCAAATGCGCACTGCCTGAAATGCCCACTTCCCCTAGTTCACTCAGTTTACAAGCATTAAGTCAAACAAGATTTGTATTCATAAAACAGCTGGCCAATTTACCTGTTGTTTTTTTGTTGTTGTTGTTAGAATAACATAATATTAGCAAGAAAATATAGAATGTTAGCAAGGGATCAGTCAGAGCTGAGCGGGAAGCACAGAACACAGAATGTCAGGGCTGGGAGGGGCCTCCGCTAGTCTCGAGCCCAATGCCCTCATTTTACAGATGCCAAGGTCAAACGGCTAACTAGTGGCAGAGCAGAGACCGCGTCTCCTGGCCCCGTCACTCTTCCACTACGTCATACCGAGTTATAAGAGAAAGGGGGGCAGGAAGGAGATGGAACCTGCAGCTCTTCAAGTTTACATAAAGAGGTTATGATACCGACTCCTCTTCCTCCAGAAAACTTCAGACTTTCCCTTATCATAAACAAGTCCATGAGGGACCAGTTTACCCTCCCCAGAGGCCATAAAGAAAATGAACAAGTGGATCCTGGCTGTAAACTCAACATTGACAATTCTGGAGTAACAGTGTGACGGCAGAGAACGTCCTTCTGGTCCCAGCCTGCTGGTGTGACCCCCACTAAGAGCCAGCCACCCCTCACACATCAGTCTCTATGCTTCACTGAATGTCCTCTCTCCCGTCTCTCTGTCTCTGTCTTTTTTCTGTAGATTGAGACACCTCCATGGGACGGTCATTTTCTCCCAGTCCTGAAGTGTCTTTGCCTTGGGAGAAGGATGACACCAAAGTCCCCTCACTCCCACCCCCACCCCTCACAAACAATGGGCATCTTCACAGGCCCAGTGAGATTAAGACCACGCAGGCTCCAAAAGGTTAAAAGGAACAATAAAGGAGACTGCCAATTGTAAGTGAATTATATTTGGCTTTGAAAGCTGAGGCACTGGCTATATTATGAAAGGCATCTCTTTGCGTTGTTTACCATCACCCTGACTAATGCAGACCTTTTTTTTTGTTTTAAATAATCTCATGCAAATTAGACACACACACTTCCTTCCAGTTGATTGCTATCTGCAAGGAATAATCTAACCGCAGAGGGTACTGAGCAAGGGATGGAGCACACTGGCTTCCTAATCCTATGGCATGGAAGCCTTCTCCCCCTCTATCTCCCCCTCCCCAGGCTCGCTAATTCTTCCTCAGAGCTGCTGCCTTTGGAAGAATTAGTCATAATTTTCATAAAGCCTAAAATTTTCTTTTACGTTTCAATTTGCATTCTATTACACCAACTGTGTCCCCTGCATTCAGATGCTCTCTCAGGAACTTCACTGCCGCCACTTGGTAATTTTCAGGAGCCACCAGCCCCTCTGAAGGCTGTCGCCCTGGTCACTTAAACCTAGAATCAACAGAAACTGAAGCCGAGAAAGACCCATTGGGTTATCAGGTCCAGCCCCACTAGTTCTGCCAAGGAGAGCCAGGGAGGAGGTGGATACTAGCTGCGAGGGATGGAGGGTGGAGGCTGAGCAAGCGGGAGGCTGATGCCACCAGAGCAGAAAACCCGGGAGCACTCCACCTTCTCAAAAAGCCCTGGAACGAGGGCTCGGGAAAACTTCTCTGGAAGCTGGCTGCCAGGCTCCATTCTGCCCCCGCTCTGGGAGGACAGCAGCCACCGGCTCTAGAGGCTGAGGAGGTCCCCCTCCTAAGAATGCTTTTGGTTTGGAGAGCCTTATTGCTGCTGCGTCTGAAACAACAGCCTCAGGGCTGGTACCATAGCTGTGCCCCCTCGCTTTTCTCTTTTTAAGCAGAAAATAAACAATTTTATTTTGTTCTGCTTTTCTGAAAGGTTTCTGTTATAAAGTAAACAAAACAAGAAAGCAGTTGATTTTGTGGGCTGGAAGGAACTGTCCACCTGCTGCCTCAGGGCCCTCCCTCAGGCTCCTGAGGCCCAGAAGCCACCTCCCTAGGACCATGGGTCTCCCGGCTGCCCCTCCTCCAAGCAGCCTCAGAGGTGAGGACTGAGAAGGCGAGTGTAGGAAGCTGCTCACCAAGCCCCAGCAGCTCACGGTGCTCAGTCAGAGTTTGTCCTAGGCAGGAGGCCATTACCTGGCTCTGCAGGAATAAGGCTGGGGAGCCAGAGGCTGAGGGCCAGGAGGTTCCAAAGGTGCTTTGGACTCCTGGTTCAGGTGACCCCTGGGGAGCACAGGGGCACACAGCCATCGAAGTCACAGTTCCCCATCCCCCAACACACACACACACACACACACACACACACTCTCTCTCTCTCTCTCTCAAGCCAGCAAGCCATGGCAAGAGAGAACTTCCCTTGCTGTGGGGAAAAATCTCTCTGAATGAAAAGAAAAATCAACTCACCCAGAAAAGGTTGAAGGGGAAGAAAGAGAAGGTTGGAAAAAGTATTTTTTTTATTTTATTATTAACATTTTGTTGGAACAGTGGAGTGCAATAAGGCCTCACCGAGGCTTTAAAAGTCGTGGGATGACCTGGAGACCCCTATTTCCCAGTGCCTTGTATAAAATTGAATTTTTTAAACATAAATTACACGTAATGACGACACTGTAAAAACTAACAGTAATGGAAAGCTGTGCTGTATTTCATTAGCCTGTATTATTCCGTGCCACCTGATCCAGCCGGGCCTTGTTTATGAGTTAGTGTGTTAGCAGATGCCGATGGAAGCATTTGCTTCGACCTTGCTCTTCTCATTGGGGCATGAAATTACGA